AGACGATTGAAAATGTTAGAGGGGAATTGAGAGAGACGAGTGAAAATGAAAATGAAATGAGTGTTTTAGGTCAAAAATTAATGGGAAATAGTCGGTGCTTAGTGGATTTTCGCGCCTAACACATGGTAGGTTTTAATTCGTTTATTGCTGATTGGGTTGCCACGTTTGTGAAATTGTAATGCATGCACTATGATTCAACTGTCGGAGGTATTTATTAGTTCCCTTATGCTCAAGTTGAAGTGTTCATATGGGAATTTTGAAAGTTCATTTACTGGCATGACAATCTGGTACAAGTTTAAGTGGCCATGAGGCCTTTTTGCCATTAAACTGTTTATCTAAAATTAAAGTGGAAATACATACAACTTAACCCTGATATGTGTAAGGAAAATATGCATCTTGCATTCATGATTTTGGAGTAAAGACCAAGTGTAATATTCTCTCCGTTCCAATTTTTGTGAACTTAAACCTACCAAGCACAAAAGCAGATTGACAGTCATCCACAAGCACACCAAAGTCTACTACTAGTTAGGATATTTGAGATGAGTTTGTATGAAGTATACAACAAGAAATAGGTATGAAGTGTGAGACTTTTGAGGGATTTGGAAGCTTTGGATAAGGGTAACAAAGGTGAAGTTGATGAGTCTATACACATATTCTAAAACAAAGAACTGTTGCACATCATCAATCACTTCATCCCCCACAATTGTCCATGTTCTTTTAAATAGTTCCAAGTCGGGATAAAAAAGGGCTGACCAAAATGCTAGTGTTGTCTTCAAATACTTCCATAGCAAGCATGCATTTGCATGTATTTGTTTCTGTTGTTCCTCACAATAGCCAAGAAGTCCTTGTGATCAGCTAGTAAGTTAATTAATAACTTGAAAGATCTAGATGCTTGTTGATGTTCCTGACTGAAGGATATGCACAAAGGTGTATGATCTGAAAATAATGGCTCGTGCAATATAACCTCTTGTTGTAACATTTATATTCACTAAGGCTCTGTCAGTTCTGCTGCGAACATGATTGTTTGTCCATGTAAATATTTTAAGTTCAGTGAGTCCAGTAATAGGACTCCCATTTTATTTGTCCTCAAAGCCCAATACATCATCGTAGTCACCCATGGCAACCAAGGACCAGCCACTGTATTATCGCCTCGTCTCTTAGCTACACTGTCCTCCATTTCTACTAGAATCACTTTCTACCAAGCACTAATACTTGAGAGTTCTGATAAGTTAGAGCACCAAAACCATTTGTATTTTATATTGCAGATTCATTCGCTACAGTCGTTTCCCCTTGTGCGTTGGATTTACTTTTTACTATCATCCAAACCTTCTCTACTGTTTGAGATGTTTCAATATATGGTTGGTGGCTTAACGATTCTTGCACTTCACTAGCAGGCTTAAAAGGTTGTTCACTACAGTATTTGAGATCGTCTAGGCAAGGTGATACTCCTCAGCTGAAAGCCAAAAAATGCATAAGAAATTATTTAGTTTTTGGCTCGTAATAATTTGTACTTTTCCAAGAGAATAATCATAAGCTTTAATCAAAACTTGGGGTTCAATTCATAAACTTGAGGTGAAGATAAAAAATGATCCACGTCATGCCATGACATTAACTAAGGTGTTTTTTGGGAGGCAACCCAACTTTACTATTTTTTGATTTTTTTTTCTATTTGTTTACCTTTTCTATTATGTTATTTTTTACAGTGTAGTTTTTTATTTTGTAGGAGCATGGGAAGCAAATTTATTGGAAGGATGCAAAAGCAAGCCAGATAGTTGGAACTAAGTATGGGGTACGCGCACAAAGGATCAGGCTTGAGAGAAGTCTGAGTATCCCATGAGCTGCTAATGCTTCGGTATTTGGCATAACATGGAGTTTCTTTATCATCTTGTTATTTATGGTGTGCATTGAGGATAATGCACACTTTTAAGTATAGGGTGGGGACACTGTTTGGATGATTTTCTATGCTATTCGAGTTGTGCTATTTTATGTGTGTTTAAAGAAAAATTTTAAAAAAATAGGTAGAAATAACCCCCTTAAGTTTCTTACGGTTACAGTTCTTTTCTAAGGGATGACTATTTAAACATGGTAGTAACTTTTTTTAGGTAGAAGTTTCAAAAAAAATTGGACTTTTCTCCACTATGGACTTCCTAAACAGTTTTCCTAAGGGTTTGAAGTCTAAAGAAAAATAAAATAAGATATTCTTTTTCTTTTTAGAAATTATAGTGCAATGAGAAGAACTTGAGTATTTATACTATTTGACATGTTTTATATCGAGGCTTAGAGCTAGAGCATTTGCGCTGAGCACTTTCTTCTTGATTCTTGTGATTATATGTCTTGTGAATATATGTTACTTTCTTTTGACACTTGTGCTCATCTTTTGAATCTTGTTATGTACTTCCTATGTGGTTGAATTATATTATTATTGTGCTTAGTTGCCTTAACTTGACAGTCGGATCTGAGCTATTCTAAGTGAGTCATGTGCATTGTGTGAGGTGAGATGTTTGGTTGTACTCTATGCCGTTTCTTACTAGTCTAGAACTTGCCCTGTGTGAAAGTTAAAGTAAAATAAGTAAGCTTTGTGAGTCTAGAAAATAAAATAGGAAATTTATTTTATTGACCGTTGAGCTACTTGCCTACTGGTGGTAAAATTATATGTTGCCAGCTTCTGACTATGTCGGTGAAATGGGACCGCGAAGACAACCCACCACTAGAGCTTGCTTTGCTCTCTCTCCGATTTGAGCTAGTAAAACTTTTCTTTATTACCCACATTACAAGCCGAATCCCCTTTGTTCTTAATTAAATTTTGTTGAAGCTTTACCTCTGAAAGCACTTAAGTCGCTAGAAGAGTAAGGAATGAGATTGTGTAGTTTTTGAATGGAACCATAAAAAGGCCAAAAGATGCACATATATATTGAGAGATCCACTAGTTGAAAATACCACCTTATGGGAGTGTTGAAAAGATGTTAACAAGAAAAAAAAAAGTATATACAAGAATACCAAAAATAAAATAAAAAAATATATACCCCTCTAATTCAGTTTGATCAGGGCTAGTGAATTATGCAGAAGTGCTTAAAGACAGTAGGCCGAGTTTATGTATGATTTTGTAGCAATATGTTGAGTGATCATGAAGAGCATATGCTTAAAAGTTAAAGCGTATTGTAGTAAAAGTGGTTAGAAGGGTTAGTCACTACTATCCATATCAATCATACTCGTCCTTAGCGTACATTACAACATATAAAGACCTAATTGATCTTAGATTTTGCGAGCTTAAATTGGTAGAGACTTACACTACGGACAAGCCTATGATATGGACTTTAAGGGCACATGAATTTTTTTTTGCGAGAGTGAGCGAATACTTTCAGGTGCGTCCATAAATTATGCTTGGATTCATATTGAGTGAGCAGACTGATTGCTATATTTGGTTTATTGGTGAGGGCACATAATTTGTAATGGATCGGTAAGGGCATCAGATCTTTGATTGCAAGAAGAAGCGAGTCATAGAGAGGAATCAATTGAAGTCATCTTTTGAGGCTAGGATGGTAGAAAGGGGCACATACATATTTTAAATAGTCTTGGCATGGGTCTAAACTTGAGGAAAGATGTATATAGCTCATATTTTGGGTTCTAAGTGTTGGTATAAACCATGTTATTAGTGTCATACTTGAGTAGGCTTGAAATTGTGTTACTTGCTTATGTGCTTAATTTTAAGTTGCTTGAGGACAACAAGAGTTTAAGTGTGGGATGGCTAGTGATAAAGGGTTGCATGTTTTGAGCGTGTTTGCATATAATTTCTTCTGTGAGTTGCAGGAGTTTACACTGCTTTGAAGTGAAAATATGCTTATTACATGTTTCTTATGTGTAAGAATGAACTTGCGCAGAAAAAATCAAATAGGAGAAAATTGACGAAAAAAGAGCTGAAAAGAAAAGTCCAGGACAACGAAGCAAGGTTCATGTTGCCAGACCGGGATCAGAGCAGAAGAAAATAACAACTGGGAGCAGTCTGGATCGTGCATCTGGACAAGCCCCTAGCTTCTCCACTCTGGAATAGAAGAGGTCAAATTCGCCTCATACAAGCACTAATGGATATAAAAACATCCTAAAACGTCCTTTTGAAGGGGGAGAGGACACTACTTTTGAGAGCGAGAAGACTTTGGAGAGGAAAGAACACGTTTGGAGCAAGGAGGAAGGATTCAACTTCACGTGTTTCCCTCTTTCGTCCTATTTTTCCATTATTATGAATTCTAGTGTTGTAGTTTTACATACTAACATGAGTAGCTAAATTCTTTTATCTAGGGTTCTGATGGAATCTTTTGTAGGATAAATTCTTGTTACGTTTTTTATATAATTGAGTCATTGGATTTCTCTACTTGTTCAACTACGTGCTTATTTTAATTGATTGAATGACCATCAATTGACTGTATCTATTTATTATGTATTACTTGGGAAAAAAGGCACATATTTAGGTAGTTATTGAACAATATTACTTCTAACATATGTGAGGAATCAATATGTCGGGTTTAAATGTGGGTTTAGGAATAACAAATTTTTGACGTGGCCATAATGAGTGGTAAGATAGCGTTAGCTAGTCTACTATGGGAGAATATCTCTAATAAATTGTTATAATTACTCGGGAGAGGATTACGACACCAGATCATGTTAGAAAAGATATTTTATGGATTATACAAGAATAATAATATGGATAAAATATTAAGATTGTTGGTGAAACCAAAAAGTACTTATAAGCACTAAAACAATAAAGTGTGACAAAACTATAAGCTTATAGAATGTAAAATATTTACTAAACACGTAGGTAAAGCAAAAAAATATTTATAAGCTAATTTGACTAGCTTACTAACATATACCTCTTAACTTTACTTTTTGAAAGTATGACCAACATTAATTGCTGTTATAATTTTGGTAAAAATGTTTGGAGAATCGATTAAACAAATAAAAACTGCTACTCTCCAATGGAATTTTCTTTAAAGCACTTTTTGAGAAAGGAAAAACTGAAAAAGCAAATTTTAAAGGTTAAAAGCCCCGGTAGGCCGCAGCAAAAAGCCAAATCAAGAGTTTCATTTCTGCAATCCAAATGGAAACCGAAGGAAAATTTTACAGAATGTGAGACAAAAAGAAGCCCCAGTGTGTTAAAACTTCTCGAAACCGAAGGAGATGATACTACCCTCGATGCCCAAAACGGAGAAAACCCCGAAACCTTCCTGCTCAGTCAAGCCAAGATTTAATGCCTACCCTTCCTGCTCAGTCAAGCCAAGATTTAATGCCTACCCTTCCTGCTGAACTCATCACAGAAATCTTGTTAAAGCTTGCAGTTAAATCCCTCTTGCAATTCAGGTCTGTTTCAAAATCTTGGCTTTCCTTAATCTCTAGCCCTGAATTTGTGAAGACCATCTCTTATTATCTAACCACCGTGGAGTTATGTTTAATGTTTGTAATGCTACACACTATGTCAAGGAGTGTTCTCTTAGCGCTATGTCAAGGAGTGTTTCTTAGCGCTTTACTTTATGATTCTGTTGCTGAGGCATTTGACTTGGATTATCCCGGTACAAATCCCTATTGTTATCCTTCGATTGTCGGTTCTTTCAATGGATTGCTTTGTCTTGCCGTTGCAGTATCTGACGGATTATTATATAACTTGTTTTTATGGAATCCATCAATTAGAAAGTATAAGAAATTGCCTAATTTTAGACTTAATGTAAGCCGCCAACACAATTTGAACAAAGATCGTTACGATTTCAAATTTGGTTTTGCATATGATGCTTTCCGAGATGAATACAAGATAGTGGGTATATTTCCTATTCACAGAAATGGACGATTGTGTCGTGTTGAGGTCAAAATATATAGTCTAAAGTCTGATTCGTGGAGAGATATTGATGATTTTCAGGGTAGGCAGCTGTTGTCTGTTTCGGGTAAGCTTGTGAATCAGAAACTTCATTGGCTTGACTGGGACCAGAACATCATTTTTTTTTTTTATTTGGCTGATGAGAAATGGGCAAAGGTAGAGCAGCCCTCTGATTTCAAAGGATGTGGTTTTTTGGTGCTAGGAGTGTTTAGAAATGATCTTTCTGCATTTTGTAATTACGAGTGGACGACTCATGTAGATATCTGGGTTATGAAGGAGTATGGGGTAAAAGAATCTTGGACAAAGATGTTTACCATCAAGTTTCCTGATCGCCCTACGGGATATATTTTTACTCCACCCATTTTTATGTCAAATGAAGGTGAAGTTTTGCTTCAGTTTGGATCACGTTTCACGAAATATAATCTAAAGGATGACTCGACCAGATATCTAGATGTTACTAACTTTGCTCCATGTCTTGAGGAGGCAGAAATCTATGTTAAGAGCCTTGTTTGTCCCTTTTTTACAGAAGGGATCACGAAGGCAGCAACAACAGACTGAAGTAACTCAGATATAAACAATCCTTTGACTAATAACCTGTAAGAGGTACATCCTATGCATTTTTCTTAAGGGCTGTTATAATTCCGGTCCATATTGCTTGGGGATCTTGTTAGTCATTGAACTATTTTCAAGAAACGATAATCTTTCGCAAGAGCAGTTATTTTGGTTGTATTACCTGATGTCTTGAAATGCTGTGTGCTCTGCAACTTTAGGAGTTATTCTTTTTCTTGTCTGGAAAATCAATATCTTTGCCCTTTTCTATTCTCATCCTTTTCATTAAATGTGAATTTTTAATATTCTACTCTTGCAGAAGAGAAAAGATACCTGCAGCTGAAATATAGACCAAATAGTTAAATGCAAAAAATGTGTCTTTTAGACAAAAGTTTGTTGCGTGGCCATAGCTAATTATTACTCCCTCTGTCCCAAAAATGATATACTTTTTGGATTTCAAGAGTCAAACGATTTGTTCTTTAAAAATGACTTTCTCATATACCTTCTTTAAATATTTTGAATTGTTAGTTATTGTGACACATAGTACCCTTTATGTAGTTTCCAATTATATAAATTTTATTTAAAAAAAAAAAACTTAAAGATTCTATGTCCGAATTTATGGTCAAAGTTGAGAAGTTTGACTTTTGAAATCCGAAAAGTACATCCTTTTTGGGACGGATGGAGTACCATACATTTTCACTATAGTTTGTGACTCTTGAGATTAAATTACTGTAAATGGGTAAGATATTAGGAGTTCCGGAAGGTTTCGCACTAAATATTTTGTTATCTAGTACCCCTTTCCTTGAAAAATAATGCTTACTTTCCCAAGTGCCTACTGTTGCATGTCAATTAAAATGGGATATATTGGTTTATATGTGAAATTATGTTTTCAAATGTCATAATGTTCTTAGGTAAAGCTCTTTCAGTTATTCTGGATCCACACGAGTGTTTACAGTTTTGGGTTCAGTTTTGAGCCACTTAAAATGTCTTCCAAAATAAGATATTGAATTGGGTCTTAAGGTCATATCTTCATTGATTGCAATTGAATGATCATTCTCAAATGTGTTTTTCTGGACTGGCTCAAGCTTGTTCAATCATAGTCAACTAGATTTAATTCCCTTTTTATGTCCAATTCATATGTTCACATTTGAATTGATAGAGTTTGCTAATACTGAAATTTCACGCCAATATAATCAAATTTTCAGTACAATGACATGAAAGAACTAGTATTGAGATTCTGTCTTTTATTGGACCTGCAATGTACTCATAGGAAATGTATTCAGAGACTGTGCAACAAAAAAGGTGACATCACTTGTAAATCTGTTATAAGGTTGGTATATTTTAAACACTCTGCTATAATTAGAAGATATTTCTCTAGCCTCAAGTGAAATTGAGATGTTGCTTTCCTTCTATCAGTTTTTTTCACCAAACTATACCCTTCAACCTGAAAGGAGCAACCCTGATGTAATGGCAATTGATATCAGGTAAGTGCATCAGGTTGTCAGTTGTATAATATTTGGTTTGTTCTTACAAATCTTACAGACACATTTATGTGTAATATACACCTTATCGAAACAAAAAAAATTCTGTTGTAGTCTACCTTTTGAGGTTGTGGTGCATTTGAATTTGCTGTATAATTTTGGACAAACTGCTTTATAGGTTCATCTTCTTCCACTATTCTACATCAATTGGTTAGTAAATAAGGATTAGTCGTAACTTGCTTAATTGTCCTCCTTAACGGAAGACAAGATATAAGCAAGTTCAGTTCTGTTAAACAGTTTATGAAAATACAAGATCAGAAGACTTTTTTTGCTTACCTTAAATGGCTGTTTGGCATCAGTTCTCTTGCCTGCTTAATTTCTGTACACTACTGGTTTCTGGAATAGATCAATATTCTTATCTTCATCTGGATCACTATCAGAAAGTTGGAGGAACTTACTCTAAGCAGATGAATATTTAATAAGTCGATTGGATTTTGTAATGGTAATCGTTTGATTTTTGAAGTAAACGTTGAAGACTAAATATACCCCTAAAGTATTTGATTTAGAGCAGATTTATCCCCCGTTCAAAAAGTGGCCTATTCGTACCCCTGCCGTTACACATTTGACTCGAGTTTGCCCTTTTTTCTAATGGAAATCATCTACCTAAATTTAAAATGCTTTTCCTCATTTAAAAAATAAAATAAAAATCCACTCGGCATTTTAATTAACCCCTCACCGATCTAATGAACCATAACACACACCCCTTCTTTCACCCCCACCCCCATGCCCAGCTCTAATACTAGCTCTTCACACACGCGCACCCACTCAGAGAAAGGAGTTGTGTAATGGCTGTATCTGTGCATCAAAGATGAAGAACACCAGCAACAACACTGAGCTCCCAGCGATTACATTCTCCGAACTAGATCTTTTTCACAAACTGCCTAAAAATACTTGTAAACCGCCTCGCTGGAAGACGAAAAATTTTGCCGCCGCCCGAGTGAAGTTGCGAAGAAATATTGGAGGAGCGAGGAGCAGGCCTGAAACTCCTCTTCTCCGATGGAAGTTTAACGAGCATATTCATCACAATGCTTGTATGACGGAGGAGAAGTCGCCGTCGGAGCTTGATCAAAAGTGTAGCCAGAATGTTAGGAGTGTGGTTTCTGCTAGGAAGTTAGCTGCTGGACCCTTTATGCAGCAGCTACCACAAGAGCTCCACCGTTGAAACCACCTCAAACAGCCACCATCTCGTCCTCCGTTTACATCACCTGAACTCCATTTTTTACTGGCAACGGAACTCCAAAATCAGTTGTTTTCAGTAACCAGAGGTCCACCCATTATCATCTTTCTGTACGCGGCTCTTTTCAGTCAAGTAGAGATAGGGTTTGTCGTTCGAGGTCCGCGGCGAGGGGTTTGTATGGGAGCATAGATTCTGTGATTTCTGTTAGATTGGGGTTGTTTTTTTGTTTTTTTTTGTGGGGTGGGGGTGGGGGGTGTTGTGTGTGTGTATTAGAGTTAATTAGATTAGAGCTATTTGTACCCCTGTCTTTACACTTTTTGCTTGGATTTGCCTTTTGTGCCACGTGAAACTGGGGTATGAATAGTCCACTTTAAACTGAGGGTAAATCTCTTTTAAATCAAATACTCTAGGGGCAAAATTAGACCTCTGCCCGAAATATATTACAATGTCTCACATTGGTTTAGGAGTGAGCTATTATTTCATTATATGGGATTGGTTAGCTTCAAGGTCCATTTTCTTTATGTGGTATCAGAACCAAACTCATCCTTGTTCTTGGTTTACCCAATGTTGGGGCCCATCTCATATTGTCACACTTCAAATGTCCAGTCCTGGGCGTGCCAGGAAGGGGGAGGTGCCAGAGTGTCTCACATTTAATGAGGGAATTTCTTTTATTGTTTTGGGCTATCCTCACGTCACTAGCTAGCTTTTAGGATCAAGTTAGTTAGGTCCCCTGTGCATTTTCTTTACATAATAGAAACTTGGAATCTTGTTATGTGAAATATTATAAGTAGATCTGATATTAGTGTTCTCTAGTCTGTGCAAATGATTGAACTCCCAAAGTAATATGACTATAAAACCCAGAAGTTAAAATTCACTGGGAAAGGGCTGGGGGAATGGCATGGTTCTGTCTTTCTATCTTCTTTGTCTCAAGGAGTCGAGATTTATAATCATGTGTAGTTTCTTTCAAAACTATGTTGAAAATATCATCTGATCTTCTTATTTCTCTGGGGCCAAAGGCATTGAAATCACGTGTGTCTGGAATGATATAGGTGTTGTGAATCATTTTTTGAACATATAGGAGCTGCTTCTGTTCTAAACTCTCCTTAATGAGAATTATCTCATGTTGGTCGCTAGCAAACAATTGACCTTGTGCATGAGCAAGTTCTTTACCTTGATAGGCTAATTAGGTTGTTGTGTTGCAGTGAATTTTTTCTGAAATCAGTAGCTAAAGAGCTTTCACGAGAATTCTTTTGGGAAATCAATCCTTTTGAATTGTGATTTGGAACTCATATTAAAGGTTGTTGCATAAATTTTATTCTTATAGATTACAGATAGATTTACAACAGAATCTCCTATTGTTTTATTTATATCAGTGGTCAATGGTGAAGTAGCACAGTAGGATCCAACTACACTTTATGCATATATTCTCAAATGTCATGTTTCCAGTATCTACCTAAATACTCTCTTTCTGATTTGAGTTTTCAAGCTTTCTGAGTTTTTTTTTGTCCTATTGTTTAAATCAGGCAAGCATGGCCCAAGAGTGGATATTAGGGATCCTTACTTTTTCCTGGCCTTTGCTGCAGTTGAGCGTCAACTTCCTGCAACCAGAGTATGATGATTGTGCTGTTGCTTGCAGTGGGAATCTAGCAAATGTAAATGTGAGGATTTGAGTTCACAGGCTGTTTTCATCACCTTGTCCTATAATCTCATATAGGGGTGGCAAAATGGTTAAAAGAAAATAGTTAACCACCCATATTATCCACTAAAAAAAGGGTTGGATAATGAACTTTTTAAAAACGGGTCAAATATGAATAAGAACCATATTATCCATTTAGAAAATGGATAACCAATGGGTCTAACTTTTACATTTGTAAACCCTCAAATTGGGGGTTCCTCAAGTTAGGAAGACTAAGAATTCTCCCAAAAGTGATCATATACAAGAAGTCATGGATAATATAATATGGGTAACCCATATTATCCACCGGTTAACTCGTTTTTTATCCGTATTAAATATGGGTCGGGTCGGATAATTGATCCGTTTTCGGCCCGAACCATATCCGACCCGCCCCGCCCATTTGCCACTCCTAATCTCAGATATTGGATGTCATTAAAACAATTGGTAATCCATATGATATTTCTAATGAAACTGTTAGTCATCTGCATTTTGTTGAGGTAATGCTTCATTTAATTAGTCAATGGGGAGGCAGTACTAATACTTAATTATTCTATGTTAATTGAACTTGGCTTCTATAGAGAAAAAGTGTATCAGATTGAAATGCAGGCACTTTCTATTTTTGGCTAAGATGTGCTCATGCAAATCCAGGTAAATTTGGATAGGAAAGGTTTATGTTTTTTGTGCTTACACTTGGAGTTTAACATAAACGTTATATCTATTTTTCTTGCAGTTCATTTCTTGAAAATGTAGTAGACAGTTTTGGTGAAAAGCTTAACCTTTCAATTTTGAAATTCTTTTTCAGTGAAGCAAACACTTGCTACCAGTTATTTCTCCTTTTTCTGCCGACGTAGTCTCTCTATTTTACATGGACAGGAAGTAGTTCTTTATAAAGTTTAGTTGAAAGCTAGTTTTTGTTCTTACCCTTTTTTTTCCTTTTCCAGCAAAGCAAAATGGTTTAACCAACGTTAAGACTTCAATTTTTCTTTTACTCTCTTCTTAATTAGTTTTAAGTCGAGAAGCCTGTCAAGAATTTCAGGATGTTGAAGAACCGATAAATGCAAAAAGACGCACACTTCGAGAGGAGGTTGTATACGTGGACCTTCTATCAAAGGTCAATCCATCTTCCACCTCCTTTATGTGGATTTGGAACCTCCATTGCCCCAACAAAATAAAGTTCTTCCTTTGGCAATGCATGCATAATCGTACCTCTTGTCGAGCTTATCTAGCTAAAATAGGAATTAATATTGATGCTACATGTACTATTTGCAAAATTGGGGTGGAGGACATCGAACACATTTTTATTAAATGTCCAGTCTCTAATCGTTTTTGGGAGAATATGGGCCTTCCTTTCCTAAATATTAATAGTGATACAAATTGGCCAGTGAAGCTGAGGGATATCTTCATTCAAAGTAGTAATCACCAGATTAATTGGAATACTTTATTTCCCTTCTCCATCTGGGAAATATGGAAAAACAAGAATCATAATAATATCAACAATCTTAATCGTAACCTGGAAGCAAGAAAGATTATTCATCTAGCATGGGAATTCAAGTTCTTCACGGAGAAAAATCCCTTCATGCTCAAAAAAATCAAAATTGAAATCAATTGGGACAAACCACCCAAAGGTATGATTAAATTAAATTGTGATGGTGCCTTTTCTAGTAACAATGATGCAGCTGGGTTTGGTGATGCATTCCGAAATAGCAATGGAGACTGGATTGTGGGATTCCACAAAGCAAGTCAAGCAATTTCACCTACGCATGCAGAGTTAATGGCATTACTAGAAGGATTAAAAAATGCTAAAGAAATGAACTTCCTAAACTTGGAAATTGAAACTAACTGTACGGAAGTCATCAAGCTTATATATGAGGATAGCTATAACTTCTCTAACATTGTTTCTAACTGCAGATGGTTAATGGACCAATTGAAGCTCCCACAACTGAAGCATAATTTAAGGGAAGGAAATGAAGTGACACATATGCTGGCCAAGGAAGCTATCAAGAGCTCACCCTCTACTAAGTGTTTTTACCATGCTTGTCCATCCTTTTTTGTTGAACAAGAAGTGATCAAGAACAAGCATGGTGCTTGCAATAGCTTTAAGAATATTTCCACTACTGTTTGTAACTATTTGGCAACTATGGGCAATAATAATGCCCTAAAAATATCTACTATGTCAATGTAATTTTTGTTTATGTAATATAATTATCCGTATTTTGTATCAAAAAAATGAATATGATAACATTGGACCTAAGAAAATAGCAAACAAAAAAAAAAGAGAAAAGTAGACAACAAACAAATCTAGGAAGCAAGTAATAAAAATACGAAAATTCATGCGCTGAAATTTATCCGAAAATCCACAACAACGCAGAAAGTATTAGAGGCAAGTACGATCATATAATTGAAACATGCAAAACACATAGTTTTAGTTTTTTCCCCTACACATGCAGAGTTGATGCTAGAAGGATTAAGGGGTAGTCGAGCGGTTTTCCTCTTTGTCCCTGTTTCTCTCTTTGTTCCGGCGAGTATGATAGTGTTTTTGTCTAGCACTACTAGCGATTTATGTTATGTTTCACACTTTTGCATAATATTTGTGTTACTGTTTTTCCATTTATTTGTTATCTCTCACGTTGTTGATATTATTTTGGGTTTTTGTTATTACAGATCTAGTGCTTATGAGCCGAGGGTCTCCCGGAAATAGCCTCTCTACCCCCTCCGGGGTAGGGGTAAGGTATGCGTATACTCTATCCTCCCCAGACCCCACTGGTGGGATTCTACTGGGTCATTGTTGTTGTTGTTGTTATAACACCACAAAGTATTTATTACTTTTTCCATCCCAATTTAGTTGTCCAATTTTAATTTTCCAATTATTATGAAAAAAATAAAAGAATAAAAATTATTTATATTTCTCTCTTAAATAATTTTTTTATGAAAACAAGGAATTCTAAAGAAGTCATGAATGAGCAGTTATGATTCTTTCTTCTATAGTATGTTAAGAATATTGTAGTTATGGAAAGATTTAAACTCCTAAATATTAATAGTTCTTACATAATTCAAATAAGGAAAGATTTAATAGTTAAAATTTTAGTCAATTTTAAAGTCATAAAAATTAAGAAAATAATACAATGACAATGACTATTTTGTTCAGTGTGAACTTTATTTTAAGGGGTAAAAAAGATGAACGATATTTTGCTAAAGAGCTTCGTACTTTTAATATAATAATATAATATATCGATTTTTTGGTAATAAATTTATATGATTACTCATTAAAAGGACTAAAATCAGTATATGTGGATTTCAGGTTTCTAATTCTTCTTAATTGGATTAATTTCACAATTCATAGTGTTTCGGAAAGTAAATTAAAGTACTTTTGGACGCGGTGAATTGTTTAGTTAGAGTCCTTAAAAGCTTTTTTTGGCGTGCATGTAAGACTACATTTCTTTCTCCATGATTAATCAACTTGCTATAATTCAGCCCGGGGGTGGCTCAAGGGGGAGGTTAGTAAAGCCTTTACTTTAGGCCCCTAAATTTTGGGACCCCTAAAAATAATTTTAGTTGTGGATTTACAATCTTTTTTTCGCTTAGAAGTTTATAGAAAAAAGAAAAAAAAATACAAAATCCTTATAAAAAAGGAAAGAAAAACTATCTATTTTTAACAATAAAAATATTTTAGAACTTTGAATTAAGATGCTCACATCTTCATATTGATAAATAACGTTTATTACAATAAGATCCAAGGTAACAAATTGTAAATACATGACTAACATCTTATAAACTTGAATTTTCTTACCAATATGAATATAAATACTATATTTTATAAGATAACTCCATAACCTGCAACAAAAAGAAACCAATGTAATATTAATACTATATTATGCAAGATAACTTTACGATAGGCAAAAAAAATAAAAAATTAAGGCCACTTATCAAAATTTGGCTTTAGGCCACGACTTTTATTGAGACGCCTTTGATTCAGCAATACTATAAGACATAGACAAGTTTAACACAGTAAATTTACTTTTATGCATCTTTAATCAAAAGCAAGATCATAAGGAAATGGAACATTAATTTACTTTTTTTTCCGGACTAAGTAAACTATATGTTGTTCCAAATAACACAAAGTACAAGAAATTCTACCAATAATCCAAACAAGAACACGCCCCATTTTTGAAGTGATGAAATCTAGATCTATCTCTTACTATAATTTCCCTCTCATAAATCCTTGAAATAAGCTTAGTAGCTGCATGACAGTCACTGCAGACCCTTAAGTTCTTTATGATTCTAATAGGGGCACCAGAATTAGATGCAATAAGAGCATAAGCTATGGCTAACTTTCACTATGATATGAAAGTGCATCTTCCTTCTCTTCCTCTTCAATGTCAAACAACACTTCTCTTGTTCCTGACTTATGACCCTGTTCTTGCAGCCTTCTATTAATCTCATCTAGCTTCAGATATATCCGTTTAGCGTGTGGATGAGTCTTATCGCCAATAAGGAACTCGTGCATAGCACCATCAATATCGACAATGCTACTACCAGAGCTTTGTCGATTCCATGATCTTTCATCAATTTCCTTACATTTTTCACATCATCCCACTTGTTCAAGCTAGCGCACATATTCGATAACAACACATAATTCCCGCTAGTCTCTGGCTCTAGCTATATCAACTGTTTTAATGCTGATTTACGTACCTCTAAGTTACCATGAACACGAGCAGCTCCAAGTAAAGACCTCCAAAGAACTGCATTTGGCTTCATAGGAATGGTCTAAACAATTTCCTCAGCCTCCTTCACCTGGCGTGCTCGACCCAAAAGATCCACTAAGGTCCCATAATGCTCAAGCTTAGGCTCAATTCCATAATCCTCCTTCATTAACTCAAAAAATTCGCAGCCTTGATCAACCAACCTTACATGAGAGCAAGCACATATTATAACTAGCATAGTTACATCATCAGGAACCAAACCTTCTAATTCCATTTTCTCGAAAAGGTCAAGAGCCTCCAGCCCAAGGCCATGCACTGCAAGTCCTCTAATCATGGCATTATAACAATATGTGTCTCTTTCGAGCAATTGATCGAACAACTGTCGAGCAATATCAAGACGGCCACAATTTGCATACATG